TTTTGACACTACAGTATAAAGAGTTGTCAGTCTGCCCCTGTTTGGGACCCATCGATGGTGTGGTGTGCCCGGGTGCATTCTGGTTAACCGAGGTTTCACTGGAAGGTGGAGATTCTGCACTGCGAATGGTGTGTTTTGTCTCTGAGCCGGTGCATTGCGGCGGGAGGCCTAGTATTAATAATATAGTTAAGGTTCCGCAGGGGGATATCGGTTTTTGTTTGGTGGCTTCAAAGACCAACAACTTCTCCTGTATGTTTCTGTTTTAAGAAATGTTTTGTGTTATTGAAGTTGAATTGTTAATAAAAGGCCTTGATGGCCATTTTACTCCAACGGTGTTTTTGGTCTTCTGTATTGGTATGTATAAGGGGAGTATATCGAGGTGTAGGGGTCTTAACTAGCACATCTGTTTTACACTAGTCAAGAACTTGTAAAGGTAACCAGCAATTTTAAATATTGTTTTCAAGTCATGCTATGTGCAGAGTTTGGGGGTGCGTGACGTACATAGTGCAGAGTTCAGGGGTGCGCTATGTGCAGAGTTTGGGGGTGTGTGGCGTGCACAGTTCAGGGGTGCGTTATATACAGAGTGCAGAGTTCAGGGGTGCACTGTGTGCAGAGCTTGTGGGTGTGCTGTGTACATAGTGCAGAGTTCAGGGGTGCACTGCATACAGAGCGCAGAGTTCAGGGGTGCACTGCATACAGAGCGCAGAGTTCAGGGGTGCGCTGTGTGCAGAGTTTGTGGGTGTGCTATGTACATAGTGCAGAGTTCAGGGGTGCACTGTATACAGAGTGCAGAGTTCAGGGGTGCGCTGCGTAGAGTTTGTGAGTGTGCTACATACATAGTGCAGAGTTAAGGGGTGCGCTACACGCAGAATGCAGAATTCAGCCCTTTTCAACATCTGCTTACCTGTGAACCCTTCATCCACATCTCACTTTCACCCTTCTTCTCTAGTACCACTCCACACACTGGAGGTGGTTCTCCCTCTCTCAGGGATCAGAGTTCAGGGGTGCGCTATGTGCAGAGTTTGAGGAATGCATTATGTACATAGTGCAGAGTTCAGGGGTGCGCTGTGTGCAGAGTTTGGGGGTGTGTCATACATAATGCAGAGTTCAGGGATGCGCTATGTGAAGAGTTTGGGAAATGCATTACGTAGATAGTGCAGAGTTCAGGGGTGCTCTATGTGCAGAGTTTGAGGAATGCATTATGTACATAGTGCAGAGTTCAGGGGTGCGCTGTGTGCAGAGTTTGGGGGTGTGTCACACATAATGCAGAGTTCAGGGATGCGCTATGTGAAGAGTTTGGGAAATGCATTACGTAGATAGTGCAGAGTTCAGGGGTGCTCTATGTGCAGAGTTTGGGGAATGCGTTATGTACATAGTGCAGAGTTCAGGGGTGCGCTGTGTGCAGAGTTCATGGGTGTGTTTCATGCATAATGTAGAGTTCAGGGGTGCACTATGTGCAGAGTTTGGGGAATGCGTTACGTACATAGTACAGAGTTCAGGGGTGCACTGTGTGCAGAGTTCGGGGGGTGTGTCGTACATAATGCAGAGTTCAGGGGTGTGCTATGTGCAGAGTTTGGGGAATGCATTACATACATAGTGCAGAGTTCAGGGGTGTGCTGTATGAAGACTTTGGGGGTGCGTGATGTACATAATGCAGAGTTCAGGGGTATGTTGCATACACAGTGCAGAGTTCAGGGGTGCGCTGTGTGCAGAGTTTGTGAGTGTGCTACGTACATAGTACAGAGTTCACGGCTGCCCTGCATATAGAGTGCAGAGCAGGGACGGACTCAAAAAAGCCTATGAAAAAGGTACCAGGAGCATCTCATGGGGCCCCCTACTGACCCGGGCTCTCAGGCAGTGCTTGCGTTTCCAAATGGTCAGTCTGCCCCTGGTGCAGAGTTCAGGGGTGCGCTACACGCAGAATGCAGAATTCAGCCCTTTTCCACATCTGCTTACCTATGAACCCTTCATCCACATCTCACTTTCACCCTTCTTCTTCTCTAGTACCACTCCACACACTGGAGGTGATTCTCCCTCACTTGCAGGGAGATCATCCAGTGGGGGTGTCAGCATCTGGAGCACCTGCATCTCCCTTGTCCCCATCCTGCACTTAGTGGATGCTGCTGCGGAGATCAGATCTGTGGGAGTCATTAAAAGATAAGCTGTCACTTGTAAACACAAAAACCGGACTTCTGTGTTTACAAGTGATAGTTGTGAACAAAGAGCAGAGGACCTGAGCTAGATGTGGTGGAGTTCCACCAAGTTCCAGCTGAAAAAAAGCCCTGGTTGTTATAATCAAGGCCACATGTGATTGAACTTTACATTTCTGAACATTTTTAACATATATTGAACAATATGCTGGAAAATGTATACAAGAGAATATTTGGATTTTTCCCAAATTTTCAGAAGCCGCACTTTTATCTGCCTTTACAGTCTCAATGTAATAGTTAAGTATATGAGAGGAAGAATTAAATGTCCAGTTTTTGACATAATGATGATGTCCTTAAAATCCTTTGGTACTGAACACCTTTCTAACTCACTCAGGCATATATACATACAATCAGGGGCAGACTGACAACTCATGGGGCCCCCCGGACAATAGGGGATCATGGGGCCCCTGTGTCCTTGCCCAAACTCAAAAAAGCTTATGAAAAAGGTACCAGGGGCATCTCATGGGGCCCCCTACTGACCCCGGGCCCTCGGGCAGTGCCCGAGTTTCCAAATGGTCAGTCCGCCCCTGCATACAATATGAATTCAGTGCTTACACTCCTTAGAGCTCCATGACCAGCTACTGACAACCTCCAGCAAGCCACTTTGCATTCAGTACTTGGCTAAACACACTCATTCGTCCATAAACATTCTGCTGTTGCCCTTGTTGGAATGCTGAATTGCTCGGAATGATCAAACTCTAGGTAATGGAAAACGAGATGTTATCTTAATTGCAGAGAGAAAAATCAGATGACTTATAGCAAATGTCATGCCTACGCAGACTCATATAATTGGTGCAATTGGGATTTACCAATCTGGAGTCAATAAGTATGGGTTATAATAAGTTCATTAAACTTTGTCTGTGGACAATTACTGTTTGATAGAGCATTCTCCTTCTGGAATTGTCACCAGGCATATGTGCATCACAATAATACATGGAACATGCTGATGGCCAATTATAGATCGGAATTCAGAGCTAGGGATCCAGCGCAATAAACATGTGTTTACCTTCAAATATATGTCATCCATCTCACATCTCTGTATTGTATTCCGATCAGCAATTCTTGGGAATATGTTGGGTGGGGTGCAGGGTGGTCATTAAAGACTGGTACATCCCTTTAAGAACGTGAAACCACTTGTGAATAATAGGGTGACAGCTCAGTGTGCATAACAACCAGTCAAATGAATCAGGATGTCATTGGGCTGTAATAAGCAAACAAATGAAATGACAATAACACCTATTGTATTTTTTTTTATTGTATTTTAACAGTTCCTTTAAGCATTCCAGTGTGTTATACAGAATAGTAGGCAATTCTCTATGGCCTGTAATGCTTTTCACAAATGAAACATCTCGTGTCATAGAGGCCTGTTAGTCTTTTCAATGTTTCTTCGATACATAGGAGAAAGAGATTAATGTAATGTAAATTATTTTATTAATGTGTTTTAATATACTGCAGTACTTGTTCCTATGAATAATGTGTAATTATTTGTGCAGCCTACTTGATCCTCTTATCTCAATGTTGATTGAAGACAATAGACTCTGTAGTGTTAATTGATAGGGACCATGTGATCTAGGCTGGGAGCTGGGAAACAAGCATTTTTATTCATGGCAAAAAATAGCAATGATAGATATAAGTAAACTGTGGATTTTAAAGATATATCCCCTTTAAAGCATGGAACAAGGGAAAAAAAAACCCAAAAAAAAACTTTTTTTAATACATATTTGCAATACACACACATTTTTCAATGTTTCATCCCTTTAAAGGATAACTAAACAACAAACAACATGGGCAGCACAGTGGCTAAGTGGTTAGTATGTCCGCCAAGCAGCACTAGGGTTGCCAGTTCAAATCCCAACCATGTGGGATTCCTCCCTCAGTCCAAAGACAGGTTGGCTGGCCCCTGTCTAAATTGGTCTATGTGGGTTAGGCACCTTAGGTTGTGTGCTCCTTGAGGGTTAGGGACCAGGGGTGGACTGACCATTTGGAAACTCGGGCACTGCCTGAGGGCCCAGGGTCAGTAGGGGGCCCCATGAGATGCCCCTGGTACCTTTCTCATAGGCTTTTTTGAGTTTGGGCAAGGACACAGGGGCCCCATGATCCCCTATTGCCCGGGGGCCCCATGAGTTGTCAGTCTGCACCTGTTAGGGACTGATGTGAATGTGCAATACATATGCAAAGCAATGTATGAATTGATGGCACTACATAATTACCTGTAATATTTATTTTTTAAATTTTTATTATGTATTTCAGGTACTTATATAGCGCCGTCAATTTACGCAGCGCTTTACACCTATATTGTAAATTCACATCAGTCCCTAACCCTCAAGGGGAGTACGATCTAAGGTCCCTAACTCACATTCATACATACGCATATTAGGGCCAATTTAGACAGGATCCAATTTACCTGCCAGCATGTCTTTGGAATGTGGAAGGAAACCAGAGTACCCGGAGGAAACCCACGCAGACATAGGGAGAACATGCAAACTCCAGGCAGGTGGTGCCGTGGTTGGGATTCGAACCAACAACCCTGGTACTGCCAGTAAATGTAATATTTTTACAGCTTAGAGTCCTTTGATGTAATGGCTGTATTTATTTTTTTTTTTCAAAAGGTAGTCAGCTCCCCCCACTCCCCCATGTTATTTTTCTTCTTTCCACTAACCTGACATGGCTCTGGATACAGTGGAACATCGATCGTTGTACAGGACCTCTATGTGAGGTCCCGATCATTGGCCAATCAGTGATCACATGAAGAGTAGTAAGCAAGATGTCACTTCTGATATCATTGCTTACTACTAGTGAAATCTGTGAATGATCACAGAGGTCACATGGTACAAGGCTATTCACAACAGCCTTGTACCATGTGACAAGCTGTGACCAATCACAACTCACACAGTATTTCTCAATGGCTGCAAGAATGCAGCCAGAGAGGAGAAGTGATTGCTTTTACAGCCTCTATGGGTGTAAAAGCAATAAGTTAAAAAAAAAAAAAAAACTCTTCATCATCCTCCACAAGTAGTACAGTTTCACTATGGTGACACTGTACTGCTAGGGTGACTGTATGTAAAAAAAAAACAAAAAACAAACAAATAATAATATAAAAAAAAAAAAAATCTACAAAAATGTTTTTACAAATTATAATTTTTGGTCATAAACTAATTTGGGTTTTTTTTTTACTAAACAGATAACTGAATAAATTTTGGCCAACATTTATGAAGAAAGATTATTTATTTGCAAAATGTTATAAGAAAAATATTTTTTTTTCAACATTTTTGGACTTTTTCGTTTATATAGCAAAAAAAATAAAAATCCCAGTGGTGAATAAATACCACCAAAATAAAGTTTTATCTGTCTCAAAAAAATTATAAAAATATTCATATGGGTACAGTGTTGCATGACCGCGCAATTGTCATTCAAAGTGTGATAGCGCTGAAAGCTGAAAATTGGCCAGGAAAGGAAGGGGGTGAAAGTGTCCGGACTTGAAGTGGTTAAATCTTACTACTCCCCCCCCCCCCCCCGTACCCTTGCAGTGGTAATCTTTCGGTGCTGCGATGGTTATTACATACTGTACCCGTCATGGGCACTCAACAAGAGTGCTAAGGACTTGAAGTGGTTAAAAAAATATATCTGAACCTTTAGTATCACCTTATTTTTATTATTAAATGCAAGCAGTGTAAGCTAAATTAATTTGACATAGTCTTGCAGTCTACTGTACAGCAGATCTCAGAAGGGGGGGATTGAGAAACATCACAGGGAGACAATCAGTTGTGCAGCAGTGCAAGGAGCAGGTGGAAGCAGGGGCGGACTGACCATTTGGAAACTCAGGCACTGCCCGAGGGCCCGGGGTCAGTAGGGGGCCCCATGAGATGCCCCTGGTACCTTTTTCATAGGCTTTTTTGAGTTTGGGCAAGGACACAGGGGCCCCATGATCCCCTATTGCCCGGGGGCACCTTGAGTTGTCAGTCCACCCCTGGGTGGAAGATAGAGTGACAGAGAGTCCAGTCACAAGGTTGGTTTGAGGAGGAGACCTGTAAGTGAAAGTGAAACTGCAGCAGACAGAACTGTCTTACGAAGTAGAGCTGTGTAAAGATAAGGAATGGATAAACAGAAATACAAATCCTTTAGCAAGTAAAATGATTCTCATATATTTATTCAATATGTGTACTGTTTGCCTGCAGCTTAGATTTAAACAGAAAAATGTATATTACATATATATGGATGGATCGCTATCCACTCATGCCACGTTTTCTAAATACAAATGCAAGAGGAGACCTCTTGGTTTTACCTAAAAGCTCCCGAGCTCTTGCTTGTAATTGTATTTAGACATGGAATTCAGCCTATACAACACACAGCTATGGGCAAAAAGCATTATTCAGACACGTTGTACCACCTGGAGCAAACAATCTCATTTCCATAACACAGACATATGAACATACACTCTGGGGTCAGTTAAGTTATGAGGCAATTAACCTATCAGCATGTCTATACCTGGTTCCTGGAAGGTAATGCAAACAGAGTAAATCCATGTTAATGCGAGGATTAGGTACATACTACTCTGCACACATAGAATCCTGCTCTGAAGAATACATATCATCCATCACTACAGCTATAAATCTAAGCTGGAGTTCTAGTCGTTGCTGGGACAAGGTCCTCTACCTCTCAAGGTGAAGGTGCCAAAATGTACAAATGTGTGGTGATCGATTGCAAAGTATGGGATTGTTACTTTTTAGCTTTGCTTTGTTTAAAGCAGAAGATATTTTCCTTTGGTGTGTACACATAGTGAAGGTTTTACTCAATAAACACACTCAAAGTTCTTTTCCATAAAAAAAAAAAAATTCTACCATGCAACTATAGCTTAAAGCTTAACCACTTCAAGTCCACTTTCACCCCCTTCTAGTCCAGGCCAAGGGCGGACTGACCATTTGGAAACTTGGGCACTGCCGAGGGCCCAGGGTCAGTAGGAGGCCCCATGAGATGCCCCTGGTACATTTTTCATAGGCTTTTTTGAGTTTGGGCAAGGACACAGGGGCCCCATGATCCCCTCTTGCCCGAGGGCCCCATGAGTTGTCCTGGCCAATTTTCAGCTTTCAGTGCTATCACACTTTGAATGACAATTGCGCGGTCATGCAACACTATACCCTTTTTTTAGCATTTTTTTGAGACAGATAAAACTCTATTTTGGTGGTATTTATTCACCACTGGGATTTTTTATTTTTTTTGCTATTTAAATGAAAAAGTCAAAAAAGTTTGAAAAAAAAGTGTTTTTCTTATAAAACTTTGCAAATAAATAATCTTTCTTCATAAGTCTTGGCCAAAATGTATTCATCTATCTTTTTAGTAAAAAAAAATTACCCAAATTAGTTTGTAACCAAAAATTATAATTTTTCAAACTTTTTTTTACATTTTTATTTTTTTTTATACTATTATGTTATGGTTTTTTTTATATACTGTCACCCTAGCTCTACGGGGTCTCCATAGTGACACTGTACTACTTGTGGGGGGTGAGGAAGATTTTCTTTTTTTTTGTACACTGATTGCTTTTACACCCATAAAGGCTGTAAAAGCAATAATTTCTCCTCTCTGGCTGCATTCTTGCAGCCATTGAGAAATACTGCGAGAGCTGTGATTGGTCACAGCTTGTCACATGGTACAAGGCTGTTGTGAATAGCCTTGTACCATATGACCTCTGTGATCATTCATAGATTTCACAAGTAGTAAGCAATGATGTCAGGAAGTGACATCTTGTTTACTACTATTCATGTGATCACTGATTAGCCAATCAGTGATTACATGAATCGGGACTTCACACAGAGGTCCTGTACAGCGATCTGTGTTCCGCTGTGTCCCAGTGAGCGCACACAGGCAATGGATGTGGGGGAAACGTCCACCCGCATCGGCAGCGCTCCTGTCTGGCAGTTTATCTACATGGGCTGGATGGGAAGTGGTTAACTCCAGGTATCTGTAAAATTGCACTGTGCCAAGGAAGCAGCAGGTTGACTTTATCCTTGGGTCCATCAGCAGTCCATACTCACCTACTCTGCCACTCCATTCGAACATAAGGAGCAAAGAAAAATACTCAGTACTTCTGGGTATGGGGACCACGTGACTTATTGCCTTCCCTTCCACATGACAGTGCTGGTGCTTGAAAATTGGCTGCTCAGGCATGCGGGAGTGTGGCCAAGTGTGGCCACGTGTTGGTCACATAAGGGGCCTACCCCGGAGTGGTTTCTTTCGGGCTACGCTAGGCACCTTGGACAGAGTCACTTTACACATGGGGTACCTTTACTGAAGCAGACAGTTGAACTCTTGATGTATTACACATAAACACATTTACTTGCTTAACTCTTCCATACCTTTGCACAGGCAGAGGGTCTCAGCAGTGCAGATCTGCTCCCGTTGCTATCGGAGACGGACTGCTACAGGAGTGCCAACAACATCTCCTTTGCTGCAAGAAGCTATCTCCCCTGTCACAGGTACACTTATGACAGGTTGCTAGAGAAACCTTTCTGACACTTAGTAACCACTTGTGTCTTCATACCCCAATGTGCTTCGCTGACCCATGCTGTAGCATGTGTGTCGGTTGCTTACATTACACCCCTTTAGTAATTTCAGACTGGGTAAGGAGAAAGCTTCAAAAGCTTTACTTGGAATAACTTAAAATTACAGATAGCAATGGTAACAGTCTAGGCTTGTGCCTGCCCCAGCATACCTGCACAGGATGAATGTACATTCTTGGCACAGTCCATGCTAGGTTTTTTCAGGGAGGACTGCTAGTCCCAATAATTTCCCTTGGTAGCAGGAACTCCGATCTCAGTATCACACTGGGAATCCAGACTCCAACGGTGGCAGTGGCAAGTGAGCAAGGCCCACTCTCTCCATTGTATGGAAATCCCCCCTCTCTCTCGGGGTCCAGGCCTCTGTAGCACACAGACCAGAGAGGGGGGCTGGACCCAGAAAACCCACCAAGAAAGACCTAGGAAACACAATGAACTCCAACCTTCCCAACTGGGGCACCATTTATCACTACCTGCCTATATTCAGGTTAACTTTAAATGCTTGTTACCCTCCGGAACACATGCATTATGACAAAGCCTATGACAAGGTCCAAATTTCTCATATTTTAAACCCAACCAAATGTCTTTTCCTAGTCCATACATTACATTGTACAAATTCACTACACAATGCAAGCAGGGAGAACTAATGTTGTCTCTGTGCTTTTTTTTTCTTGGTTCAGTCCTTTTAAGATGTGCCATTCACAGGAATTGGGGTGGTCATGTAATCATGTCTCTGGGTACAGTGCCTCATGACACTGCTGGATATAGGGAAGAAGCAGGAGAAACATTGGTAGAGTGCATCAACCCTTTTCCATCGTGCTGCTGATTGGCCCTAACAGCCAAGTTGATGTAGCTTGAGAACAGAGGAGCCTAAGCAAATTTCAGCATAGCCAACATAGGTTGTGGCCTTAGGTGGCACGGAGCCACCCACATATATTGTTATTAATTTGATCTGTATATGTAGAACCAATCTGCTATCTCAATAGAGCAACAGCTTGCCTTGCTCTTTTAATTCCAGGTCTGCTGGCACAAAGCAGGCAAATTTTCTCTTTCAGCCTCTTTAAGCCAACTGTGCCTTGAATGGCTATGAAATCTCATCCTGATAATGCGGTACTATTGTAAACTAGCCATGGGCAAGAGAAAGGTGGGGGCATAAGACTGTTGGGTTAGTGTGAAATCATATATAAATGCAACCCCAGGCCTGACTGTTGTCACAAAAAAACAGTGCTACCCAGAAGACCATTCAGGGCAAAATTACATGTTCTTTTGATAAAAATAACCTTCTACCCATTGATACTTCCTTTTCTGTGCCCTTTTTGGTATGGGCAAGCTTCTGATCTTCTCCGCTCCCATCCAGCATGTAGTGTTTGGGACTAAGCAACCAATTACCAGGCAGGAACAATGTCAGGTGAAGAACTATCAGGTAACTCTGTGTAAGCTCCAACACTATCCAACACAAAGCTTACACAGGATTTGAACTCCCAGATCTGAAGGTGCAATGGAGCAGTGGGTAAAGGCAGTAAGATGAGCATCAGTAGTTGGAGGTAGTTTATTCAGGAGAAACTGTCACTTTTTACAAAAAGGGGAAAATTAAACAGCCTCTTTAAAGAACGGAAGGAGCACAGAAAGTAGTAGGTGAGTCACTGAAGCCATTTTATGAGAAAAGGAAAAAATACCTAAAGTCTATGGGTGGCATTGCTACAATTTGAAGAGAGAGGCGTTAGGTAGCTTGGTCATGGGGGGTCCCAGCATAGTTGAATGAGCTATAAAAATGTTCATGCCCCTACCTTCAGAGACTTGAAAGGCCTGGAAACCTCTGTGTTGTGTTCATCAAGCAAACTAGGAAGCCTGATAGCTCTGGTGGTTAGAGGATGAAGCAATGTGACCAAGATCAAGGTGGTAGTGTTTTTATGGTGTTTTACTATACCAATTTCATAGACAAAAGATAAGAGCAGGCATTATCAAAAACCCTTTACCTGAATGATTACACTCCTTTTCTAAAGCACCTGGCTGGGCATATTATGTTCTGAAATCTTTTTACGTTGACAATGAAGCCTGCCTGACCATTACTGATAAGCCTGATTCTCCACGGGAAGATAAGTTATCCTGAAATTTCATTTTCAACTTATGCTCCAAAAATCCAAAATCAGCAAGTGCATTTCCTCCTTATTTGGTGATATGAACAAATTATGAATAATGTACTCTGCTGTACCCTTACCTTGCAAATAGCACCGAATGAGACACAACATTCTTTTACTTCTAGTTTCTGTTTACCTCTTATAACCTGGAATTTCATCAGGGATGTACAGGGCTGCCTGTACTTGACTAATCTGAATTCAAATATAGAAATGAAAATTTTACTACTAAAGGGATTCAAACTTGGAAAGTTTGCATCTAAAGCAATGATAGTATGTTGAAAACAGCACCTGTATTGTTGTGAATGGTATTGTTGCTACTTTAAGATCTTTACTGGGACTTTGTTGCTTTAAAAACAATCTCTAAACACTTACCTCTACAAAAGAATTCTCTTAAAATTTACCGGAGGGTGGTGAACCCTATCTTCACTCTCTAGCACAGTTACAGACTCTGGCAAAATGATCCATGGTTTCCTGGTCTGTTGGATGCTTATGTCCATTGCAATTTGTGGTGCCATCCACCGCCCACTACGTCATTACAGGATAGCCCTGACATAGCAGAGCAACAATCTCATGCAGCGGGGATCAGGCATCCGACACAACCAGAAGTGTATCAAATACAGAATATTTTTCTCCAGGGGTAGCTTTAACAGAGTGGAGATCGGCGGTGCAAATGGTAGAACGACTGAGTATTAACTGTTTTCTAAACAAGAATCTAATTTTTAAAAATGTTTTGGGCAGGGGCAGACTGACAACTCATGGCGCCCCCGTGCAATAGGAGATCATGGGGCCCCTGTGTCCTTGCCCAAACTCAAAAAAGCCTATGAAAAAGGTACCAGGGGCATCTCATGGGGCCCCCTACTGACCCCGGGCCCTCAGGCAGTGCCCAAGTTTCCAAATGGTCAGTCCGCCCCTAGTTTTGGGTATGCCTTATACAAGCCCAGTAAAGAGATAAAAATGTTCCATATTTCATTATTTTTGTCCATTCTACCACAGTTGCTCTTTAAAGACTACCTTCAAGCTGTGGATGTCCCTTTTGTTCCTGTTGAGAAGACCATTCATGATAGCAATGACATCATCAAGCTAGCATTGCTTGATTTAGGGGAGTGCCTATGCAGAGTCCCAGTGCGTATCACTCTCCCTTCCAAGAGTCCCACCCATAGACTGTGTAAAGGCTTAGGACTTTGGGGAGATGTAGAATGACGCGCTATGTGAAATGGATGTGGTGTAGAACAATCTGCAGATCCATCTTCTCGGTGGCCAGAAGGGAGCTTGCAGTCAGTGACTGATTAAAGGATAAGTTCACCTTTTAGAAAAAAATAATAAAAATGCACATTTTTTTTTAGGGAAAAACATGTGCATTTATTATTTTTGCCTACCGGAGCCTGGAAAGCATTGCACCAGCGATCAGTAGATCACTGATGCCATACAGGTCTCTTGTAGACATGTCAGAATATCTACTTGCCGTACGGGATGCACGAGCAAGCAGATATTCTGACAGGAAGCTTCAATGAACTGCCGCGACGCTCCACAATGCCGTGGTAGTTCATTTGAAAAGTACAAGCCCACAGGCATATGGCTGGGGGTGACAGGACTGGCAGATGGGGAGCTCAGCACCGGAGAACACAATGCAAAGCCGATACCCAGCCACAGGAGTTCTGTGGCTGGGTATCGGCTTTACGTTGTGTTCTCTGGTGCTGAGCTCTCCATCTGCTGGTCCTGTCACCCCGAACCATGTGGATGTGTAGAGACGAGTCACGGGGGAGGTTGCTGGCGCTGTGCTGTGTGCAGTGTGCAGATCATGAATCCCATGTGACATCAAGCTGTAAAGCAGCTCCAGTATCCAGAGGAGGGATATCCTTTCCAGGCTGTACATACATTCCACCTTAAAGGGGACCTCTAGCTGATTTCATTTTACATATTACACTGCATATTTTAAATGCGCATCGAGTGAGTGTGCATTTTTACCATATTCTCCGCACTGTTCCGGATGGAATAATTGTCACATGGAGTATATCTTCACCTGAGCACAGGATTTTATCTCATGAGCACAAGATTTCTACTTCGCTTGAATTAAGGACAATATCACACTCACACTGGACTTTTATTTGATTTATTTAATTAATTGATTTAATTATTTATTCATTTATCCATTGCGTATTGTCATATTATTCATCACTTAGCATATACGCACTTGGCACTTTAATATTTTATCATTTTGAATACCATTAGTTGTTTTCTTTGGGCTGCACTTTCTGATTACATATGCTATTGAAGGTTTTAGGTTCCTTTTTGGGTGCATTTGCTGCTCTATAGATTTAAGCGCTCGCTGATCTCCTTTACACAAGCCCATAGCTGCTAAGGCTGCCTGGACTTGCAGTTCATTCATTCATGGAAGTCCATGAATGAATGATGCGGCCATGTGACAGATAGTATGGGGAAACATCTCCCTGTACTATCTGTCAGGGGGGGGGGGTGGCTGCAGCTATGGTAACATGTTACATGTTCCACCCTAAAAACGGATGGAACATGTAACATGTTCCCAAAGGTGAACTTATCCTTTAAGTCATTATCAATTCAGAATGTGTTTTTACATCTCTGAAAAAGGAACAAAAAAGATATTTAAAAGGGGGTGCTGTAGAGGAAGAGAAAATGGTGCCAGGGAACCTGCGAGCCTGGAGATGAGCTATAAACAAATTCATTTGCTTTGTTTTTTACCGTAAATCACATACTTAAACTGCAGCCTGCCATGTTCTCTGTTTGTTTGGCTCCTGCTAGTGTGAGGGATTGAAAGCAGACGTAGGTGACATGAAAAAGGACTGGACATGGAAGAACATCTACTGCTTTGACTGGGATGTTGGCTCAGAGATGACACAATAATATTATAATGTGCCCATGCTGTTCATGGCTGACTGAACACATGGTCTTGCACTTAGATCAATCCCCTGATGTTGCCTATTACCATGACACTTGAGAGTTACAATCCTATCATCTAGGTGAACACTGGAAGACAGGACACTGAAGAAGTGCTACCTTCTATTTCCAGAAGTCTGATGCCATCCATCTTAGCCTAGGCAAAGTCACTTTATGGGAGTTTGAGCAACCATGCTAGGATAAACAGACTAAAACATGATCTTTAACCTCCCTAGCGGTCTGATTATGTCCATATTTCTGTGCTGAAAACATATGCCCAGTGAACTGACTAGTCTCAGCTGATACACAGAGATGAAACAAATCCTCCTACATACGTTGTATCTGTTTATCTGCAGTCTTCTCTACAGTTGTTGCAAGTGCAGAATTTATAAATCTTGTCTGAGATTTCAGAAAAAAAAGGGGGGGAGCTGAAATTACACTGTGCAAGCTCAGTGAGGAGAGCTCTGAGAGCTGATTGGAGGGAAGCACGCAGGAACAAAGATGAGGCTGTCAATCTGCTGAAGGTCCCTTTCCTGTCACCATTTTTCCCTTGGTGTCAGGAAAACTCATCAAAATTTATTCATGCTGATAGCAGAGGAACAAAACAGCAGAGAGAAATGACACTTGGTGCTCTTAACTGAGACAAATACACACTATAGAGGGAAATGCTTTGTTGATATTTCACGTCTGAGGTTTACAACCACTTTAACTTTCATCTGTCCACTTGAACAAACATAATGTAGAAGCTGCTACTGAAAGCAGCTTCCAGGAAATCCTACTACAACTTTCTGCTTAGGCTGAGGGTGAGGTAATGGATAGAACTGGGCAGACATTGAAGTGGATAAAAATCATTAAAATGGGCCTGGAGCAAGGGGAAAATAAAGAGATATTGCAAGGAGTGTTGGTGTAACGTAGGGCAGCTTTTGTAAGCTGGTACAATATGATGCACAATTCATGAGTACACTTTCATATCTAGTACCTACAGTATGTGTACAAGCCTTTACAGACTGCACTGTTAGCACCCATTAAAGCAAGGCATTTTACAACCAAATTTCATATTTCTAACAAGACAAAGATGACAAGGTTGTGAAACTAGTTAGACACTGAAAAATGGACAAAGCCCTAAAATAAAAGGATCTTAGGAAAATGTCCCTGGAAGATCATGAAAAACAGGCCTTACAATACGGAGAAAACTTTTGACAGTAGGACCTCTTTACTGATATCCTTTGGCAAAGTTGTGTTAGTTTCCATTCAGTACAGAGGATTCTGATGATCTGAAGATCTGTGTTGTCAGACAAGGAGATATTTTTAATTAAAGTGGTTTAAAAGTCTCAAGGTTTTTTACCTTCATGCATTCTATGCATGAAGGTAAAAAACATTCTGTGTGTAGCAGCCCCCAGCCCCTCCTGACACTTACCTGAGCCCCCTCTTGATCCAGCGATGTCCAAGAGAGCCTTGGTTCTCCGGGGACTCTCACTCCTAAGTGGCTGAGGCAGCAGCAGGAGACTGCTGAGATTGGCTGTCACTCAGAGGGAGGGGGTGGGCTGAGCCTTGGCTGTGTGTGAAGGCTGTGTGTGAATGGACACGCAAGCTGATTGCTATGGGGTCACCCGACAGGAGGGAGGGGTCAGGAGCACCAGCAAGGGACTCAAGAAGAGGAAAACCAGGCTGCTCTGTGCAAAACCATTACACAGAGCAGGTAAGTATAACATGTCTGTTATTTTGAAGAAAAAATAAAAGACTTTGGTATCACTTTAAGGGAGTTAGTGCTAGGTTTAGGGATACAGAGTGGATTAAGGCTGAGTTTACAGAGCAGGTTAGTATGAAAGAGATTTTGATTGGCCCTTTGATCTATATGTCAAAATCAATGGCCAATTTCCTGGCAATGAAAGCTTAAAAGAGAAGTGCAGAAGTCTAAAAAAAAACCCATTCATGATTATCTGTGTGGATGCAGCATCACTTTGATGCTTGATGCTGCAGGTTTCCCCCACCAACTATGCACTGAGAACTGAGTGATCAAAGACCGCTGATCACTCAGCTCCCGGGTCCACCCTGGACTGTGGAGGAGGTGGGAGCGGCTGGTTCAGGCTTTCCCCATTATGCTGAGAAGCTGATACAGCTGCCATTAAGGCATCTGGGTAGATTCCAACATTATTGTTGAAATTCCTGTAGAGCAGGGATCTCCAAACTACAGCCGGATGCGGCCCTTTGCTTGCCTTCATCCAGCCCTTGGGGCACTATTTCTTTCACTAATGCTAACAATGGGGTACTTTTTCTCCCACTGACACCAATGATGGGCATTGTTTAACCCCACTGATGCCAAGATATTTTCTACTGCCATTGGCCACACTCTGGCCCCCCTAAAGTCTGCAAAACAGTAAACAGGCCCTTTGTTTAGATAGTTTGGAGACCCCTACTGTAGAGCATGGACCGCCCTGTAACATGAGCTGACAGCGGGCTTTAGACTGCTATCGGCTGAATCTGGATCACAGAAGTGGAGAACTACAGTAAGTGCACTACTGTGACCCACATTAGAAGTATGACCAAAAGAGCTTTGGCTATACTTCTCATTTATGTATGTACCATTAAAGTAAAGCACTCCATTAAGTTAATGTTCTTAAAATGTATTTCCGGAAATTACCCAAGAGTCTTTTTTCTACACACAATGTGCGGGCAGGCTCCTGGGAGTTAAAGCTGTAACAGTATTTTTTTCTGGGAAATAAATCAATCTACACAGATGGAGAAGACTAGAGGGAGATGGGGGGGTAGTTGGAATTCTGTAGTCCATCAGGCTTGACAGACAATGCTCAATGCTGGTTAAGATTTCAGTGCAGCAGAGGCCATTCAGGAAGATAGGAGCACAGCGGATCAACAGTTATTTTTACTTGCAAAATTTTGAAATAAATAAAAAATGGAAATGTGCATGTATTGCAAAGATATATTGCAAAGATGTGCTGAATATGTTGCTTATTTTATGTTATTCAGACATACACTCTAAAGAGAAAGAATT